AATTTTTAAATAATTGAGTGAGAATTTTAAATTTACAGCCCTAACTATACCACTAATATTAGCGTTCTTCTAATGAAGTGCTTTTGTTTTATTTAGTGCGCGTTATACACGTTAAGTTCGAAACTCTCAGACATTTTCGAACAAAAACTTTCGACATAACACTTTCAAAATTATGTTGTTTCTCTAAAAATTTCGGACATTTTAAGATTATTTAAAGAGTGAATTATTGAATTATTATGTTTACACACACTTCAATGAAATTAACTGCAGAGTACAATCGAAAAAGAGTAGTCCTTTGAAGCAGCCTCAGATAATTCCTTTGGGCGCAGAAAAATATGATAGTGACGACGTGAATATGGAGATGGAGAGGGATGTTAGGTAAAAAATCTCCAAGCACAAATCAAAACGGTCTGTACATTTGAAATTTTGGTTGCATTATTTGCCACTGACGGTGAGAGGTTGCACGTTCAGTTTTGTCTGAAATGTTCAGGTGCGAAAATTTTCCACGTCTTTTATGGACAATGTCAGTCTTTCCTTGTGGACCTATCTAAACACAAATAATTTCTCTAGTATCGTTGTTAGCCTGCTACCAGGCTCTCTATCAGGGTGATAAATAAGTGACCGTCAAGGTCGCCCGCGTACCAGCTGCGTTCTTTCTGATAGCCCAAGTTGCGTATGAAAGCTTAGGGGCGCGATCTGGACGCAAAATTCGTTTCCCCTTCTTTGTCTCTCGCCCCAAGCTATATCAAACCTCTTGTGCTATCCGAAAGGAAACGGCAATGGGAGAGATTTAAACATTAATTTCCTCAGCTCTCTTCTCACTGTTAGCCTTGTTTTTCATACACACAAAATCTGTATTGGATTTGATTTTCTTCGATGTCACCTTGAGGAACTTCTCTGGGGGAACTACAACAAAGAAAAAAAAAACAACAACCAACAGACTATCATTAAAAAGAAATGATCTTCGCAATAATATTTGCAATTTTCACCGAAACAGGCTTGACAGACTTTTACTGACGACCTCCGCTTTACCGGTGCGTGGTTCAAAAGACTGACAGTATCGCACAGGAGTCTAAGTCTCTTGGACTCTGTCTCAAAAATACAGGGCTGCCGAGGAATGAGAATCGAAAATATATTCTGGGCTCCCAATCAAAATGCCAACGGATCTAGATATTCTCTTCTTCCCCCTATACTTCAGCGTCCCGCTTTTGGATGAAATGAACGTTAGCGTTACTACCCGTCGTCACAGGTTTCCGTCACGGCGATTGGTCATCATGCAACAATTTTCCTGGTTTAGCGGAGGAAACAAGTTTGGAAAGAACATGCTGGGTCTTTAGAGAAAAGACGGGCCCCGAAAAGTTTCCGATTCTCACAGGGATTGTCCAACCGGGGCAAATCACGAAAGCCGTCGCGTTCTACTAGGGGTGAACAACGAAAACGTTTCCTTTGAATGGTAATGAGACGAAACCGTTTCTTTTTAAACTTACCAAAATTGTCAAAAACGTACCTTGGAGTGGGCAACAACAGTGATGAATCACGTACCTTACAAGTCTGTAAGTATTCTTGTTGAACGTTGGAAAAAAGGTGTCTGACTCAAATTCCTTGTGTATTTCCGTCAAGTATATTCTGTAACAGTAGGTAGACTCTATCGCTTCCTGAAAACAAACAAAGAAATGCAAATTTGATTAAATTACATTCCCAAAAGTAAGTAGTGGAGTGTGGCGTGACTATGAATTTACAGATAGCGGTTGCCATAGTTGTGTCTACGGGCTAATCTCGCTCTTGAGGTTAATTTTTAACTGTAGTTAGACATATTCATATGAAAAATGCACTACATAACTATAAATATTCACTAAAACTATGCTCATTTCACAGTACATGAGAATGACATTTTCAATTCCAAAACAAAAATGTCTCTTCTTGGCTACAGTTATGCAAACCCGAGGGGGGACCCCATATAAAAAGTTTGGGGGTGCTTGTTGTACGTTTTAGGGGTTAAAAACGCAGTTTTGGTACCTCTCAGGGTGTTCAGCCTCAAAAGATCCACAGCGCGAGCTTTTGCGGTATCTTTTAGGGTATTGAGCCAAACAAATATGACAGGAGATGATGTTTTGTTTTAGAATTGGTACCTCTTGGGGATGAAAAAAAATTTAAGCCACACCCACTAAACAGGATCTTGGTAGGTTACTTCTTAGGAGTTCTTTTTTAAAATTTGCGATGAGTACCCCTCTCCTTTTTGTATGAAAGTCCCCCCCCAGGTATGCAACGTTTTTGAATGCTATACCATGATATATTCCATTTCTACGAGTCATTTGTATTTTCTCGGTCTACAAACGAGCCTTTAAGCCTGTGTATATACTGAGAAAATTCAAGTGACAACATTGCATAACTATATTATACCATGCCATAGAAAATAGAGTGGTCAACACAATCAATGTGACACACATGTGGCATATGATTGGAAGATTGGATGCAATACTGTTGAATATACAACAGCTTTCATGTATTCTGATTGGCTGTATTTTGTAAGACATGGTATAAAGTCTCGTATCTAGTGTGCTCTCGTGAAAAAGTGAAGCAAACAATGTATTTACCCTATACACTTCAGTGCCACCGAGCACAAAAATTTCTTCCACTGTATCATTAAAAGGAGAATTAGATAACATTTGCACTGCTGATGAGACACTGTCACAAACATGATGAGCACCACAAGGAGGACACCTAATTAATATACAGAAAATAATGAGTGCAATCAATAACGTGTTCAAAGGGTAATTGCCATTTTTGACAGGCCTGGCATTTATAGGCTGAGTAGTAGGTGTTAAATGGGGCAGGGTGAGAAGATGGATGGAAGGAGGGGGACCAGGAGAAAGGAAGAACTTCCTTCCCCCTATTCCTTGCCTTTTTTGCCTCCCTACTGCTTCCCTATTTACCCCTGCAACACAGGCTAGGTATTTTTAAAGATATCTGACCCCATTAGGTGACGGTGGAAGAAGGTGGGGGTAGGTTGTAAATTTTCCCATAACAATTGTGATTGGATGATCATCAGAATTTTAATGGAACTTTAACAAGAGCTGCCTTGTGTGGGCACAACTCAAAAATGCCTTGTAAGTTTCCAAAAGGTGTGTAATAATATGGTGGATACATGTAGTTTGAAGAACGAAGAATGAAGAATGTAAATTGCACAGTATAAGAGGAGCATGTTTTCCCACCTGGTCAAGGTGGCTTGCTTATAGTTCCTGAGCGCCATTCTATATTTGTTCACTAAGTGACCAATAAGGTTTATGTAAGCCTTAAGTGAAGTTTTTGCCAAGATTTACTGGTGCAGGTCACTTTGAACTTATTTTTCAATAATATTTTTCATGCAACCATTATTCCCTAACCGGTCTAGCCACCGCTGGCAGATGAATGTTGCTGGTTACAAATCTTCAATTTCACACCATTTGAAGAACTGGTGAATGCTTACATCCCTTCAGGGACTTGGCCCAACCACATTCAAGCTATCAGTGCCTGAAAGTTCCTTGTGATGGTGAATTACAGATGACCACAACAAGAGCCACAACTGCATCCGTAACTGCACAAGGGTTCCAGAAAACACTTGCAGGTGTATTACAGCCAATTAAACCTTACCCATCATTGAACACTGGCATTTTAATTTAATTGGACCTTACTTAGTGTTCTACATCTGTCTAAATGAAATGTATTCAATGATCATAAAAAAAAAAAAAATCTGTAGGCCTACTTGAAAACAGTAAACTCCCAAACGTCCATCAGAGTACTTACTTTAGAGTTTTACTGATGACAACATTAAGTCTGCCTGGGAGGGGTTGCTGAGTTGGATCAAGAGATTCCCAAGTTTTTCTCCCCAACAATACAGCATTCCATTTACCTGTTAAGAAAGTAAACCATCCAAAAATCACATAAGACTGTCAGGTGTAAAAGAGTATTAAGTTATTAAAAGCCAGGCTGTATAAATTATACCATAAAGCAATTAATGACTGACCTCAAGTGAAGAGAAACAATATTATTATAACAACAACACCAATAATTAAATAAATAAACAAAGTTCATCATTTTTGCCATATTCGTCAACGTTTCGGGACCCTTCTAGGCAGATCATGTCTATTCACTCATTTAACTTTGTCAACAACCTTGGCAAAATTTCATCAAAATGGTCACTTTTGCCCAAATTTCCACAGATTCACAAATTTTGCCAAATCCATTAAAATCATCAACAAAACTTTGTCAAATCTGCCATTTTTGTTACCTCCTGCATTTCTGGACATATCTCAAACCCACAGTAATAAAAACAAAAACATTGAGGTCAAATAGAGGAAATAAAACTCACAGTTTCCTACAGGAGCAATCATTATTATGTGCTTGCCATACCTTGGGACTAACAAATCTTTTTGCTTTTAAATTTTATCCAACATGATATCTGGCAACAGTGAAAACATTACCAACCAAAAGGTTTAATGAATGGTAAAATAGTTAAATGCATGCCGGCAATTTTATTCTGCAAACATTTCTTTGACATTTTCTATTAAACAAATGAATTTTTCTTGTATCTGTTTGGCATATTCAAATTGAGAATCAGTTCTCAGACAATGACATACGTGAACAGATTTATGCACTCAGTTCATCAGTAAATCATTAATTCATTTTTGAATCAACACTGTCGTTTGCATCGCTCAATTTGTGGTTACCTCCTTGAGCTGCTTGACCAGATTGTCTGCCAGACCAAAGTTTAACCTACAGCTGCAATCTAGAGAGTTTTACAGTTTTGAGAAGTGCCACATGATACATTCTCCTTGAATGTCAGGCTTGTGAAGGCAGTGGTTTCACCTTTTACAATTGTTGTTTTTTCATGGGACAGGAAAATATAGGAATGGTAGACAAAAAACAAATTTGGTTAATTTATGGGCTTCATTAATACAGTGTTTTTTGTAACAATTCTGTTGTGAAGGTTCTCCAATCTTAAAACTGTCAAATCACTACAGTGCTGTTTTTTTAGAATTTAATTTCCATGTTTCTGCAATATTTCTGTATTCTTCAAGTTTTCTTACCTGTATGAAGTCATAAAAAAGTTTCCTGTTGTCAAGTAGTGAGAGTATATATATATCCACTCCAAACAAAATCTATGTAATGTTTCCCTGGTTTGTTTTCCCACAAGTTCAATGGCCTAATTGTGTTGACGTTACCTTTATCTCTGACTTCTGTTGTAATTCTCTGTAAAAACTCCAAGTCTGTCCTGCATTTAACAAAATAATAAAATCTAATACTTAACTAAATAATTTTGCATTACATCTTTAATTTTAAAATCAAAACATTGATTCTACTTAGCTCTGAGAATTTAGTGGTGAATCAAGATCAGAAATAAATACTCCAAAGAGAATTTAAAAGTCACCTATGAATTACTAAGAAGCCAGAGATGCAAACACAAAAATCTAGATACTTGTGGCTGGGAAGGGCCAGAGTCTAGTCCTTAATTGTTTAATTTTGCAACAAGTAAGCCTGGGGGAGGGGGACTCTTATACAAAAAAGGACAGAGATGCTTGTCAGAAATTTCAAAAGAACCCCTAAGAGGTAGCAAGATGCTGCTATGTGGGTGTACATGTAGCTTGAAATTTTTTCACGCCTAAGAGGTACCAATTCTCAAACAAAACATTACCTCCTATCATATTTTTTGGACTCAATAACCTCAATGTGATACCTTTGAGGGTATCGATGTCCGTAAAAGCTCCCGGTGTGGATCTTTTGAGGCTGAATACCCTAAGAGGTATCAAAACCACTTTTTTAAACCCTAAAAGGTATGATGAGCACCCTGTCCTTTTTATGTAGGATTCCCCTTGCCTCGGGCATGTAATTAAATCACAAGATTTATTTGCACCAATGAGATTCTAGTATTTTCTCTACGCATTGCCTAATCTTCAATACGTATTGTCTGGGTATAAAGATACTTGTACATTAGAGACATCACAGCAGTTTAAACCTGAGCAATAGCAATAAGTAGCAATCAAAGTTTAGTAGTTTTTAACTTCTCACCCACATTCTCTCGTGGATCCAATACAATCCTTTCAGATCTAACAGGCTCCTTTAGGATCCTAATTACGATTGTGATTTTACTTTAATAAGAAATGTTTTGATTCCAGCTGTGTAAGATTATCACCTCTCCCAGGGGATCACCTAGGATTCTGCACAAGATCCTGTACGATCTTACATGTAAACATAAGTCTGTTGAGGCTCGATGTTGTAATTTCCAGTCAAGATCCTGTGTATAATTTCTACCAGGGCTTTCGTGCCAATGTGATTAAGTTTTAATAGGGTTGATCAAGCGACTATTTGTCTATTTAATCGCTCATGTGGAATGAATCCATGTCCAAACTGGTACAAAATGTGCAAGCACAAAGAGTGCAAGTGTATGCGTGTGTACGCAAAATTCCACTGACCTTAGCGATGGCCAAGGTAACTTGCCGTTGTTGCCAATTCCTAGATTAGAGGCTATAGCAGCAACACAACTTACACGGCGAAGAGTTTTGCCAGACAAATTTTCATCCATATGGAGTTGATCAGGAGTAGTTTAAAATCTGTCGATTAATCCGCCATTTTGAAAATGATGTTGCCGCTGGTGAAGAATGTGGGCGCAATGAATTATAACCCAGTCTTCCACATTCCGCCCTAAGCCGTTGAGTAACTCCTAGTGCACTAGCGATATACGTAATTCCTCTAATGTGGTTCCATTTAATGACCAAACATTATGCTAGTCTTGCGCAGTTAAATGTGTCGTGTCTTATGATTGAAGATACTCCGTCCAAAAAATCATAAAATTCGAAAAAAATCGGTGAGTCGGTTCGACTTTTTAAAGACAGGTCGTCTCGATCCTCGTCGCATCGAGTCAATCTGACAAAATTTCTTCTCACCTCTACCCCCTCTATCACGTTTCAGTATAAATATCACGAATGCTGTTCTCTTATTGACTACGCTACTCACTATCTATTCTGTGATAGATAGTGAGTAGCGTAGCAGTGTGCCCTTGTTAACAAATGACGACCGCTTCTTAGCGTTTTCGAAGTGTCTGTGAAGAGGATTTAGATTAAGTATTGAACGACTAGTAGATTTAAACTAAAACAATTAGATTATTCACTCTCGATTTCTATGCGTGATAGTTGACTCGGGCTGCGCTCTCGTCAACCATCACGCGATAGACATCTCGAGCTCATAATCTAATTGTTTAATAGTAGAGTTTTTGAAGTCTTTGGTGGAATGATTTGCGCCGAGTCGGGTCTTCCTGGTCTGCCACCACTCAGTTCGGGTGACAGCGCTCGTTACTTTTGCAAGCTGTTGGCAAAAACTTTCTCCTTAGGAACTACAATCAACGTGATTTTCTAGGCTTATGCTATACGATAGCATTGCTAAACTAGCTAAACTGAAAGTTTCACAAATTTTAAACAATTTAAAATGCTAGATTAAAGAAGTCTGTAAAAACTTGTAAATTTTACCAATTTTACAGCCTCCTGATAACATCCTTTTTCATTTCACCATTTTTCTACTGTTGAAGAGATTTACTTTTCTTACTAGCTAACATAAACTATGCTTATGGAATCTTGGATTAAAAATTAATAGCGAATATTCGCAAATTAATAATTTACACTTACCCTAAATGTAAATGCGCAATTTTTTTGAACCTCGGCATTTGGTATTTTCAGTCAATTCTTTTCAAGCGTGTTGCAAACTTCAATGATCTTCGTAGCTAGGTTTCATCAGTGTCATCGGGGGCTAACAGATAGTAATTTTAAAAATTGCGCTGATTCTGGTGGTAGAAATAGTGGCGGCAGTGGTAGTAAAGCTGAAATGCGCTCTATACAACCAATTTACTGCAGTCGCAAACCGTTTACACATTTTTTTTGGTACCAGGTATTTTGCACCCTCTCCTGGACTGGGTATTTTGTGAGTTGCGAGTTGCGAGTTGCGAGTTGCGAGTTGCGAGTTGCGAGTTGCGAGTTGCGAGTTGCGAGTTGCGAGTTACGAGTTGCGAGTTGCGAGTTGTGAGTTGTGAGTTGCTGAGGGTTGAAGTTACGAGATGGGAGTTCCCACCTTTCTCGGTCTGAATTAGACCTCGGTGTATCGCTTTATTTATAATACTACCAACCTGTTAATACGGCCAGGTTTTGTCGGCTCCACTGTGACCTGATCCTGAGAGTCCTACCACGTACTACACTAATTAATCTTCTGGCTTTCTGTTCAAATGTAAGAGCACAACTATTCATTAGAAAACATCGCGTGTGGCTGAAACGGACAAAATCGACATGAAGTATGATATCTCCTAACAAACGTCTTGTTTTGTCGTGTCCGGTTTCACACTAGGATATTGTTGAGAAACAATTTACTCTTTTCCTTGCTGCTCTTGATGCGGACTAAATGGTTTCAATCAAATTAAGGCGAAGAAAGTGCCCGATCGATCAAGATCATCTTTGTTCCAGTGAATTATCTTGAGCGCTAGTGTAAAGCAAATCCGTACTCTTCAGAACATTGCATCTTGTAAAAATAATCTTGCACCCAGTAATTCGTTTTCCAAGCGATCTTTCTCCCATAAAACCTATATGAATATGACTTTGCATAATCACGCCAACTGAGAATACCACGACAGAAACAGAAACTTAAATAGTAATGGCACAACTATTTAGAGGAAAAAAAAACTGAAGCGTTGCTGAAAATTGAACGGGAAGAAACTTTACGATGTTTCCTAAGTAGGTAAAACTGTTTGCGATTAAGATGCCAGTAGCTACAACTCGCTCCAGATCCTCCTCTTACAGAGCGTATTTTTTTTGGCAAGACAATCGAGCGATCGGAGCGGTCACATTAAAACCAGGCATGAACGAAACGTATTGTCAGTGTCAAGTCTCGGCCAAACGCACGCCATTTCGGGGCGACATATTTCAATTAATATCGTTGCACAAAAACATATTGGGAGGCGCGGTGGCCTCATGGTTAGTGTGCTCGTCTCCGGATTGAGTGGTTTGGGTTCGAGCCCTGGGCCGGGGACATTGTGTTGTGTTCTTGGGCAAGACACTTCACTCCCACAGTGCCTCTCTCCACCCAGGTGTATAAACGGGTACCGGCAAATTTAATGCTGAGGGTAACCCTGCGATGGACTAGCATCCCATCCAGGGGGGAGTAGAAATACTCCTAGTAGCTTCATGCTACAGAAACCGGGATAAGGTCCGGCCTGGTGGGCCACTTAGCTCGTATGCAGACTTTACCTTACCCCGCAAAAACATATTAGAACATGGCTAGAAAAGCCGCAGTATCAAACTCAGAAAAATTTATTTCCATAAATGACCATATTATAAAAGAAGTATTCACGTTTCAGTTGTGCAAGTGTGATGCAGTTGGCCGGAAAGTTTGGAGAGCATGCAAGAACCTAGAGTTGCTTTAGGCTGCGCCTCAAGTAGACTAGGAGTTGTCCTCTTTCGCTTAGTTCGTCGTGCGTGACGCGAAAGAAAACCGCCAGAAAAAAATGGCACAGGATTTCACGCTACCATTTCTTTCGCGGTTTATTTACGGTCTCGCTCGACGGACTACGCGAGAAAGGGACTACTCGTAGTCTACGTCTCAAGCAACTCATACGCTCTCGAAACTTGCCGCGTGTATGCAGGCTTAATTATACCTTACTTAGCCACCGGCCTTCTTCTTTCCCGACATTATATCTAGGAAAGATCGAAGTGACTCTGCTCGCAGGGTGGCTAAAGCACTGTACCCAGTTGGCTACCCTGTACATGTTGCACCCTGCTTAGTAGTATAGTTGCCAAATTACCCCGCGTTTTAATTTGTTCAAAATGGCCGCCAAATAAAAGTTTGAGAAAAGTGGAGCAAAACGGGGGCGCTGGTCTAAAAACCTGGAGGTACAACCGAAGTGGCGCTATCCCATTCAAGATGGCCGCCTCCCTCGCCACCCCCTCTCCTCCCCTTCTGTGGGGCTGATGTCATGGTGAAAGGGGAGGATACCCCCTCTGGTGAGAGCATAAAAAGCTGANTTTTTTTTTTTTTAAATAGACTCACTAGACTTCCAGTACGGGGGCTTCATGCGGCTTATGCAAGAAAGGACAGAGGGAAAAGTTCGTGGCTTTGAGCAATGGTGGAGAATACGTGAGGTGTACCAAACATTCGTGCGGTTATCGCTGGAAAATTTAGCCTAAATAATGGTAAGGATTTGGCGAGTTGGAAATGTTTACTTAGGTTAAAAGCGACGTTTTATTTTGGAGTTCGGCTAACTATCTTTTGCAGATCTTTAAATAAATCATGGATTACAATCGTAGAAAGTCGGAATAAGGTGAACATTTGGCGGGAAATATTTTTGACTAATGATATTTTTTGGACTTTGCCAGACCAATTATTCCGATTTGCCTGTAGATACCAATTTTAACTATACTGGATATTGATAACAGTACAAAAGACTACGACAAAAATGTTTTTCTGTGTAAATAAACTGCCGCACTTTTGAAAAAGGACTCGCTATTTTAGACCGCTTGAGAGGCAAAAATCATGGTATGATGATATCTCGAAGAAAAAACGAACGCCTACCTCGGCAAATGTCATGCTTGTTAATCTTTTCGGATAGCTTTTATATTGTGAAAAGAGGAAGGTAGAGGGCCGACCTCGATCTTTTGGTATTGCCAGGTTTCTCTGACAATAACACTTAAATGGGAAAACATGTAGTACGGTGTTAGGTTCAGTAATTGCACCCGGTTTTTGCCACTTTAAACTAAATCGCACTTTTCCCTATTAAACTGGTTCAGTGACGAATTGATCCTGGCAAGTAAACTGCAGTTTAAGCAATTGCAGAATTTGAAGTCTGAAAAATACTCTGGCTTCCACTGGGCTCGAACTCATGCTTCCTAGATATAGATACTGGTTTGGCGCTACTACGGCCTACTACCAACTGAGCTACAAAGCCACACGTTAAGAGTGAGGCAAACTTTAGTGGGTTCTTTGTTTCCTGTAAAGGAATTTGATGGACAATGATATACGAAATAAACTCATATTTGACCTGCGATTAAACTCGCGCAGCTGTTGTTCCGGTTTTGTGAAGACACAAAAGTCCCACTCTAAAATATAAACGGAAAGGCAAAAAGTAAAGGTCTGATGTATTTGAAAAAGAAAACGCCCGATACCATGAAAAAGACCATTGGGTACCGGCTACAATGAATTGAATTTTCAACTCTCAGTACACTCTTTGAATCTCTCAGATTCCACTAGTAGTAATGTGGAAAATGTCATTGTCATCTACGTCACATCGAGGAAGAAAATCTTTTCTTCACAGAAAAGTAACCCGATATCAAATTAAGTTCTACCAAAGGAAAAAAAAACAAAACAAATCAATTAGTCTGTAAATAAATGGATAAACATTAGTTATGTCAGGTTCCGCAGTTTAAAATGCTGGCAATCGCTTCTGCCTCTTCAAAAACCGTAAAGCGCTCTACTTAATCATCTGAATGAAGTTGAATTTTATCCCAAGTTTCATGGACATATAATTATAAGTGGCGGAAATGAAACGTCACATTGCCTTAAATCAAGAGATATTGTCTTTGTTCTATCGTGACAAGGGCGGGGCGAAGGTATACTGTGAAAAATAACAATGTTAATTTAATGAAACCGCAAAACTACCTTTATTGGAGCTGCAGGCAATATAATGATCCTCTTAACGCACTGTTATTTTTTTAAATCCGTTAATATTTTTTGTTTATTTTAGGAACCAAATCAACACCCCCAACTAAAATGACCTCGCTCACCACTCAGGTCTCCCATAGCTCAGTGGTAGAGCAGTCCAACCAGCAATATGGACAGGTCATGGGTTCGATTCCTCATTGGGATTCAGAAAACTTTCTTTTCCGAGTAGGCCAACTACAAGATTAATCTTATCTTTTTAATATTTAAAGTCAAGACTGAGTAAGAACGTAAAATAAATAGATCGATTAGTCATAGATTCTTAACGTTG